CATCAGCTTTGAACAACCGCTCAGCTCCGTGATGATAGAAACGGTGGAGAGCTACAGCAACAGCGGCAACCGTGGAACTATTAGCACAATAGCGAAGCCAATCGCGACGATCAGCACCATGGCTTGGACAAACGCTCGGTGATTTTCGCCGCTAAAACTGAACTGAGGGTTTGCCGATGTTAACTTCCTGCATTTGACATGCCCGGCCCAGACTGTGCTTTGGTTTTTTATTGCCGGGTGATGAAACATGTTCAACGGCACTGCTGTTCGTACAGCAGGCTTGGTTATCTTCGCAAGTCCTGCCCTCGCTGTGGTTGAGTAGGTGGGTTGTGGTTTGGCTTGATCAATGCCGTGTGTGGGCGCGAGCGGTTCTCCCCGTCCCGTGGTGTGATACCCTCGCCCCGCCTGTCCATTGTTGGTGGGTGGGTGGGTGGGTTCGGGATTGGGTAAGCGGTACGCGGAATCTTGCCCCTTGCCTGGTGTTTGCTCTTCGTTCGGATGGCCACCTTCGACGCAACATGTTCGACAGTTGCGAGAATCAAAACTTTAATGTAGACCGCCCATTCCTGCAGCTGTTAGCTCTGCTGAGCCGTTGCAGTAACATCAAAACCCGGAAACAGCGACAGTTATGAATAACTGAGCTTCAGCGATGGACCCAATCCAGTGTCTGTGGGCACTGTGATGTCAAGATCCCCAGCTAGGCGCAAAAGCGGCCACTGTCACGCAGCAATCCGCGCTTGCATCATGGGAGGGCGGGTGTTGGGGGTGAGGGGCATTATGGCACATTGTCGAACTTCGAACAGATCGGTTTTGTTGTATGACCTGTGTAGTAGGCATCTCCTTTCGTAATCATGCAACATCTGCAGGTGGAATGCGTATGTGCGAAAATGAGAATTGCAAAAGAAGTTTCAGTCTATGCAAGTCATCGCCATGGCCCAGAAAGGGTTCCAGTCTGGGGCAACAAACACTACTTAGAATGTTTGCACAGGTTCATTCAATTTTCAGAGCACAGGTTCACAAGGCCGAACATGTTCATGTTGTGTTTCTCAATTTACGGAGTAGACTTTCGGGCCGCTAAAAGCATGAGCGAGTAAGCGAGTGATTGAACTAAACATTGGAAGTGGCACCATCAGTGATGTTAGAGCCTCTCATGTTCTGGCAGGTTCAAGTGGGGGGCTGTTTGGGAGGGCTCCGGAGGGTTGGTTTAGGAGCGGACTACAGGAGTGGAGTTCGGATCGTCAGAGTTGCCTGCCCGAGCAGCCATAAGCCTTGTGCAAAGCTCCGTGGTTCAAACCCTTCCAATGTCCTCCTGCAGAGCGAAATGAGGATTGATTGAGCGCGCGACAGTACAGTGGTAGGTAAGGACGTGGGGCGGGGGCGGTTCAAAAAGAGAACATTCAGCATCCATGTATGTACGTATATATATATATATATATGGATGATTATATTCGAAATTTGTAGACACGCACAGATATAGCTATATAGATATAGATATATGCACATACAAACGAGATAGAACGAGACCCTCGAGAGCAAGAGTTCTCGATACAAAGGTAAATCTGCAATAATCCGCACACAGACATGCGCATTCATGGTACCGGTGACCTATGACCCGAGCAGCAAGTAGTTGCGGTCAGACGCTTCCGAGGAACGTACAAAAGTCCCACCGAGACGCCTGGTGCTGAGTTGTGTCCAATTTGCCTTGAGAACATGTGAAGCAAGTCGTGCACGCACATGCATCGCACAGGAACCTCGCATAAACAAGCTTGATGGAGATTTGCAGCAGGTACGAAGGCCAGTGGAAAGATGTCGGGCACCAAGCGCCTGATGGGAGGGTTTGTTGTGACTCGAGTATGCAGCATCTGCATGTGCAGCAAGCTCTCTTGCTCACTGCTCGTGCGAGGACAAGCAGAATGGAGATGGTAAGCACACATGGAGTGATGGACGATCATACGAAGGCCAGTATGTGAGACTTGGCACGCACTGGCTGTTATGTTGTCAGATAGAAGTCGAATCTTGTCGTTTAGCTGCGGTAGCATCGATCTCATGAGAGATGAGCCTGAAGACAGGAACGGACGGTTCTCCGGAAAGGGAAAGATGGCCTCTTGACATGCAGCGATACAGTCTAAGACAGAGTTTGAGTTGGAGACTGTCGACAGTCCCCAGTCAGCAAACAGTCCTGCCTTGCACTGCCTTGGTGGATGCTAGTGCCCTGGTGCTGGAGGTTTGGAGGACAGACAAGGCGGGCGACGGGGCATGTTGAGAAAGCATGCTTCACCCAAGTCGAACTTCCAGCGATGTTTTTTCATCTATGACGCCCCCCTGTTAGGGCACTATGATCTACGAAGGACCGACAGCTTGTGAAGCCGCTTGCAAATGATTGTGACCGGACAAGCTGGCCTAGAGCCAAGCGCGATATGCAAACTTCAGTCTGCAGAATGCCACCCCCCGACATGCGCATGATGTTGCAAAAACGACACGCCGTGGCACAGGAGACTACTTGGATGATGCCAAGCACGGCTCGGGCAAGTTCACGTGGCCAAATGGAAATGTATCTCTGCTTAATATTAGCATACAGCAGCTCGTCCCCATGATTGCTATAGCTTCGTGCCACCTCAGGTTTATGAGGGCGGATGGCAGAACGGAAAGCGACATGGAAAAGCTACCTTCATCACGCGCCCTCCTCAATGTTGCAAACGCCTTCGAAAGGTATCCATGACCTGATGACCTTGTGATTTACATAGCCTACATTGCAACGCAGTGGCGAGACGTGCCGTGCAGCCTAGCCCAGTTCATCAGCATAAAGTCGATTAGAGCTCCGCCTTCGAAGCCTCAGGTCCACTGGAAAGCAGAAGGCAGGGTCTCTCAGTGCCGAAGTAGGCTGTTTGTTGGGACAATGCAAGTTGGATCGTTGTGGGTCATGTTTGTTGCTGCCCTCATCCCAGCTATGCGGCTGTTGGCGCAACCGCTTGGGAATGCAGAGTGTTGTGCCACGAGTGCTGCATGGGCAGGTATGAGCGTGCTTTAACTTCAACAGCCGGAGTTGGGTGTTTGCAGTCACAGCAGCCAATTGCTTGTCCACTCGGGGCACGTGGCCAACAGAAGAAGAGATTCGAAAACAGCGCGAGAACCCAACTTGTTGAAAGGCAGCACTCCGAGCCACTGAAACGAAACGCTTGTAGGAACAGCAGAAAGCACTGTAGAAACGAGACACTCAGCAATCTGTGTTTTTGAATTTTGGAGCGGTATATAGCTGGACATGATGAGGGCGTGCACTCCTTTTCGACATCTTCAGAGCATCGGGCAGTGAGGAACCGAACAGAGCATCGCGCGGCCACATGAGAGGTCGGCTTCTGGCACGACGACAAGTTTGTGAAGTGGGAAGGTGATGATGCCGAACCTTCCCAAGCATGAAGCTCGCAGTTGAACCTGTGCCACTTGGCGAGCATTTCGTCATGTTGCCGTTTCTCTCAGACGGACCCGCCGCTTCGCCGAGGCGACAAGCCCCCAAAGAGGGCTTGCGCTTTGCAAAATGCCAGCAAAAGGCTAGGCAGATGCTTCAATGATTGCTTTGCAAGCGTTGCACCTGCGTAGCTACAGACACTTTCCAGTTTTTGGCAAGCGCCGGTGCTAAAGACTCGGCGATGTAGAACCCGCGCGTGTGGGGCTGCAGACTATCCGCGCCTAACACTTCCAGTCGCAAACTGCTGAGTAAGAGAATGACACGTTTTTGGGGCTGACCAGTAAATGAAGTGCGACCCGATGCGACCTGCAGCTACTCTTTGTTCACGCCTCAAGTGCGCATTGTGGGCAAGGCCCAGCGCCTTTGACACAGTGGTCGCGCTTGTAGGCATGCTTCGAACTGCCTCCTCTTGTTTCACTGCAGACAGGCTTCCATATCTTCTCTTCCCGCTTCGGCAAGCTTTTAGCATTGGCGTTTATAAGTTCGTTTGGAGAAGCCTGTCTGCCTCTGCATACCTGCCCGACTTGCCAAGTGCGTGGGGCAACAGAGTCGAGGCGCAAATCCGCAGGCGGCCTCGACTCAAGAACCTGAGCATGAGCCCGAGTCAAGACAACCTCGTACAACATGTAGCAGCAATGTAGCAGCAATGTAGCAATGTAGCACTACTTTGTAGAGCTGCCGGCCCGGCCGGGGTAGTTACGCAAAGCCATGGATGCGCTGTTGGCAGAGGGACGGAGAAAGTTGTCGATTTCGGACCGAGGACTCGGGCTCGTGCGGTGAACGGTTGTCATCGAGTGAAGAGTCAGCCCAAGCAGTGCGCATGCTCTGTGACGTCAATGAGGATGTAGCAGCAGCTGCAGTGCACATCCTGATGCTATACTAAATACTACAACATCAAGTACTCTCGAATAGATGCAAAAAAGCATGTTGTTGAACCTTTAAATGCGTTTGATGGTGGAGATTTTCCAGCTGATGTGAAGGGCTTTTGCTCCAAGAGCCAAAGTGCCATGGCCCAGACGGTCTGCGACAATGACCTGGGAGATAGTGTCGAACACTTGCGCATGCTCGAACATGCTTCTCGTAAGAAAAGGCCAGCTTGTGCAACCATTGCCAGCCACGCTTGAAGCGGAAAGCAGACAGGCATGAGTAAGAGAAAGCTAAAGCCCGTCAACATGTCGCTTGTGACTGCGATGCTTGACTTGAATGATATCCATAAGCTTTTTGCCGCAAGTCTACAGTTTATTGAAGCAGGCAAGATGTAGTATCCGGCTTGCGAGCTGGTGATCCTCAGACTTAGACTGGCAGTCAAGTTCAGCCGCTTTGGACATCTGAGTCGAAAGCTGTCAGGAATGACATGGAAGGTGCGAAGTTAGATTCTGCGAAGATTGGCAGGCACCGCACTTTTTGTTAGGGGTTGCTGCTAGTGCTTCAACGACTCGCCATGCCGGCAGCTCTCGGTGGGGAGCCATTGTCCAATTTCAGCTGCGATGGCGCTGATGGTCGCGAAGCAACCAGATGGCTGCGAAGCCACATCAAGATGCAAGGCCGTCGCATGACGCAGCCCTGCAAGCCTTATATAAAAACTGTACCGAGCAGTTCTGTGCAGGAGCTTGGGCTGCCATTTCTGGCTTGCAAAACATGCTGCGCAACACAATCGAGGCCTTTCCGTCGCAGCGATGGCAGAACCACACGTTTCTTGTGCACTGAATTGGCAACTCTCTTCTGCAGGCGAATGTAATACACCGCAACATCGTCATTTCGGCATGCGCCTCTGTCGCGGCCTGGTCGTCAGCGTGGGCTGTGCTCAAGAACTTTCGTGCTGCATCGGTCGAAGCCACAGCCATCAGCTCGTCCCTCGGAAGTTTGCCATGCGGCAGCTAGAATGACCGTCTAAACGTCCTAGCCTTAGCACATGTCGCCTTCAGAGGCTATGGTGCTGCTGTTGCAAGCGTGAAGCACGGCTGGCACCGTGCTTTGGCTTTGAGCGATGCATTGCTACTCTATGGCCTTCGCTCCAACTCCATCATCATGACATCGGTTGCAGCCGCGATGCAGCAAGGCCGAGCCCCGCAAGGCTTTAGTCCTGGACCCGCTTTTGAGCTTTAGTTCTGCTCATCCTTGCAGGTCTTCAGTGGCAGCGGTCTCTTGTGCTGGCTGCTGGGAGCCGCGCTTTACCCCCCAGTGTGATTCTTGGCACAGCACCTTGGTCGGGGACGGTTGCACCAAAAGGATCGAAGAGGCGAGCCAAGGTAGGGCCGCCTACCTGGGCCCAACCATGCCAGCATAGTCAGGAGAGCCCGTTTGCGGCTGGACGCAAAACGGCTGTGCACAAAGGGGATCAGCAGGGGTTGCCACCGACGGGTAACCTGCAAGGCCCCGAAGAAGAACAAGGGAAAGGCAATGTGCTAGTGAGCACGTGCATGAGTGAGTAAGTCTGTGAGATTCAGATTCGGTGCAGACGTGACGTGCTATTGACTTTGACATCGTGGATCCCGACTCTGCGTGCCGTCCGAGCTACAAATTACCCCGTCGTTTCAGTCTGCGGGCTCGGCAGGCTGCTTTGGAAATTCGAGTATTCGTAGTTACGCATCCTGACCGTGCATCCAAGCCGTTGTGAGTTTCCGTGGCCGTGGTTTCGAAATATGCATGTGTGTCTTTGTTTCTGTCTCTGTCTACCAATATCACTTGTTTGTATCGCCCGCACCCTTTTAATGGCCATTACAAAGGCGTATGCAGGTTTGAGCCGTCATGTTATGAACTTACTGGTGCGCAGCGATACGGGTGGTACAAACGTCAGACGACTGGCGGGGCGGGCTGTTACAACCAGGGTTTTGACGCATACATGCACATACCCTTTTTGAGTTCCATGTTCCAGACCTTCAGGCGATTGCACAAGTCCTGATGCAAAAAAACTGTTCACCCAAGGATTTGTCAGAATGCTCTGGCATCCGCGTATGGAAAATGCGCGCTCTGGCCAGCGGCCCTTCACATTCTGATGGCCCAGCCTGGTGCTCGGAAGCCTTGCATGCCAGTCGTGGTTCAGCGCCTGCTGCGCACAAGTAAGATTAAGAATAGTGCTGCAATGGTTGAACACCAAATGGTTTATTCAACCTACAAAACCTGCAGCCTCAAGCACGAGCATCACCTGCTGCTTGACAGGAAATCTGTGGCCATGCAGCCAGACGCAAGTACAGTGGGAACCGCCACGGATGCTTTCGCTTGCTCCAGATTGTGGAAGAGTGCGTAGCTGGCCTGCACTGTGGATAGGGAAGCAGAGGTCGCTGATGAGCTGCAAAGGGATCTATAGCGAGTTTCAGCTGTCGCGATCAAAGTTTGTGTGTTTGTCATTCCACATATTGGAGCGGTCTCTTGTGAGCTGTAGAAGCTCGGTCCATGGCGCGGGAAAAGACCACAAGAGGTCGGCAATCTTGAACCCGCAGCGCGGCCTGGTCAGCTAAAGCGGGTGGGAAGAAAGAAGCCATCGCCCCGACTATCAATGAAACCCGCGCGAGGCGAGGGAGAAAGCGGAGCAGCGCGTTCAACAAGGCTATCTCGTCAATCAAGTGTCGCGTACAGCATGCCAGAGGCGACCGGACGGTAGGAGGGAGACGAATCTGTCGACAGTACGAAACCATCAACGCAGGATTGCATCGAGAAGCCTTCCTGTGAAATAAAAGCATGAGGATGTGCAATCTCATCAGCTCTCGTTTCGACAGACGGTCGGTAACCAGAGCGCAGATCCCTGCAAGCGGTAACAAGTACAGGACGATAAGAGGGCCCACGACGACAAGCATGTGGAGAGGACCGAAGGCAAGCCGAGAGCAAGGCATGGTGGAAAGATGCAGATCCTCGATGCGCATGACGCCATGAGGAGAGATCGACACTTGTGACATTGAGTTTTCAGACTCTTTGGCCACAGCAAGGTTGCACATTCTGCATGGGATGATGGACTGGCAGATCCGCTGCCACCAGATTGCCTATCACTCGGCAGCCAGCGCATGCGCTGCCGATCGATGTTGGAGAGAGGCCTGGACAAGCAAAGCGTCGTCCAATGCAGCACTCCTTGGCCCAGGTCTACGGGCTACTCGAACGCATGGCTTTTCGCCTCACCGAGTTGACTGCCAGGAGTTTCAGCCTTAGTGCTGAAGGCTTTAGATGTTGGCCTGGAGGAACGCGCACTGCTGATGCAGAGGGCGCGCCAGCCACGCGAGCAATTTCAGTAAGAACTCGTGCTAGCTGCCAGCTTTCGCATCGCATGCGGCGAGCGCCGAGTCAAGGCTTTAACGTGGCGATTTCCACGCTGCCAGAAACGGCGAAGTGGAGTGATGCCTTTGCTTTGCTGGAGGCCAGGAGACGGGGTTTGTTTTATAGCCATCAGTCTGCAGCAGTATACGAAACTTCCGACAGGCATTGTCCAGCAAGGCCTTGGAGCCGAGCACGGTGTCTTTCAATTCCAAAGTTGATGCTTGTGGCCACTGGGCGTCGTCAGTCGCTATTCTGGAGACTATGCGGGCCGAGGATACAGCTCCTGAGCCATGGCTTGCAAACAGCCAAATCCACACCGGTCGCTTAGCGTAGCTATATGTAGCTATGCAGCTAAGCACATGCTCCTTAGCATGTGCGTGTCTCTTGCCAGACCCAGCCTCATCTGTGATCAGACTCAGGACCGGCTCAGTTGCAATTCTGCTCTCAGCACCTGCTCGAGCGACGAAGCGTGGCAAATGGCCCTGTCTATAGCAGGCCAAAGTCATCAACACGAGTCGCTGGATGTCATTGGCATGGACTCGGCACCTTGGCCTTGGCGCCATACTGGGGATCTCGATAGCAGCGGAACCGAATAGGTGATGGCTTAAAGCTGTCGCTCAGGCAGCTTGTGCCTGTCAGCGGCACTGGGAGGAGGTGTTAAATCTCATCGCCGGGCTCTTGCCAAAAACTGTTCGCCCTAGCCACCTGGCACGTTCTCAGTGGAACAGCTGCATGTCCCCTCCATGCTTTGCTGATCTTTGCCGCATGCATTCCCCTGCATCACCAAGGCTCAATCTCCTTGAATACAGTATCTTGGAAGATTCTGCGCTGAGGTTTGGTCTTGAAACCCTGATTCCAGAGCGTTGGCTTGTTCACGTTTGGGCGGCCCGCGTTAAGGTACTGAGTTCATGTGAGCAGTGCTTGCAGTGGCCTCAAGCTCTTTCGATTCTGCGCGGCTGGCCAGAGCTGCGGACAGATTTCTCAAAGTGCGGCTTATGCTATTCAGATACTGCAGTACTTATTTGAATTTTGTCCCTGGAGATGCAACCTATACGACGGGGTGTTAGGTACAAGGGCAGGGGAAGCTCATAGTCGTAGCCTTGACTTTCGACAGTGTTGCCGATGCACTCTTTTTGGACCACGTGCCGTTCAAGTTTAGGCCCAGGCTCCCGTCCGGTGCATCCTAGGCAGCTGCCGCACTTAGCATCTTGACAGGATTTGTCCAAGTTGTGGCATTTTCGCAAACCATGTCATGTGGCAAGCACAAAGAACCTCCGGGACCTGTAAGAGCTATTTTAGCAACTTCAGCACTCAAAGCAACAATTCGGTGTGGCGCAGGACCCGCAAGGATATCATCTCCTACAACTCATCCATCAGCGCATGTGAGCAGAGTTGGACACAGGGCCTGGAATGCTTTTCGGCAGTGTTGCGGAATCAGCTACTTCCCGACCTTGTGACATACAACGCCGCTTGCCACTCCAGCTCCCCTGCATCGTGGCTATCAAGTCTGATGTCCTGCGCTCAGTTTGTCCCCATGCACATCCATTCATTCGGCTTCATTCTTGCTCTTGTCCCCAGACAAGGATTTTCAGTCATCTCAACCACAGCAAGCTGGCAGCTGACAAGGTCAGCTGCGGTACAGTGCTGGATGCTTGCAGTCTGGGGTTCAGCTGGGGTGGCGCCTTGCAGACCCTTCAGCAAATGCACGGCCAGACACTGCGTGCCAACGCTTGGACCATCAGCTCAGCAGTTCGCAGCTGCGAGATGAGTCTGCATCCTTCAACTGCTCTGGGCTTTGTATTGAGATCCTGAAGTCCTCAGCTGTCACGAATCTCAGGCCCAAGGCTTGTCATGTCACCATGCCGCTGGATGATACTGGATGGTGTCCAACGCAGACAGAGGAGAAGCCGTGGTGGACACTGCAGGCCATTACATTCCTCCCGAGAGATGAGAGGCGAAGATCAGTAAACCTGCACGACAAGCTCGGAGTGGCCCACACACTTCGGATTGTGGATGTCGCTGCCCTGGCTGACTTGACAGCCAGATTTTCGAGACGAGGTTCGTCCGCCAGGCTGGACCGGGCCTCAGAGCGGAATGAGACCTCGTCCGGCAGAGTCCGAGTTGCGAGAGCGTAAGAGCATTCCGCGTTCGGAGACACGGACAAGTGCGCTCGCTGGGATGGCTTCATCGGCTACTGAGACATTTCTCACGGCTTTCTTCCTTTCGGCGTGCTGAAGGTGTTTTAGAAACCCGCTGAAGACGCGACGCACGTCAGAGGTTGTGCAGATTGGCGCATGGGCATCAGTACGAATGGTGCCGAGACGAGACCCTCTGCCAATGCAAAATTGAGCAAACGCAGACGGTTGGATTTTTGTGTGGTGCATCAGCTCTTCCAGTTTGTGAGCTTGCTGTGCCAAGGAGTTCGCGTGCATGGTGCACAGGCATGTGAAGCAAGCCGAGTGACCAAGTGAGCCATTTCTCAAGAATGTCTTCTCAGTTCCACCCGTCGTTGGCCACAGCTTCGGCTTCCACCCCTGTTGCTTGGATCAGGTTGAGACTGCTCATCCTCCCTTCTTAATGGCTTGTGCAGTTCCGAAACATTGCCTGCTCAACAAAAAGTTCCGAAACACCCACTGCTGAAAAGGATCCGTACTATTCTGTGACGATTCTGGTGCTAGTGACAGCTTCTCGTATGGGTGCCCACGCTGCAGGGATTCACCTAAACACAGAGACTCCCTGGCTGCAGGATTCTCCATGATCTCCTTTTTTCTGCGAATGAAGCGCAGATGCACCTGTTGGCAAGTGCTGCAGGCGATCCAGGCGAATGTGCGGCGATGCCGCTGGCAAGAGGCGGTGCTGCTGTGGCATAATGCACTTGCCACGGAGTGCCTCGGATCCCACGTGCTGTAACACTGTTTCAAAAATTGTAAGCACCCGGGCACCAAGGCCCCCGATTTCGCGAACAGCTGCAAAGCTATTGCTCTCTGCCTTGCAGAGAACAAGTCTGTGGCAGCAAGTGCTTGCACTCGTTGCCGGTTTGCCAACTCGCAAACTGGCGGCGGACAAGTTTCTCGGTGGTGTGAGCGAGCACTTTCTGTAGCGTTTTGAAGGGCTTGTTTACGGGGATGGATCAATACCCTGAATCCTGGTGTGCTGGGCATGACTGAGGACTATATACGATGCGGCATTACTGGACTATGCAACGAATCGCAATTGGCAGCTCGCCCTCAACATTGTAGGCATGATGATGCCTCCCGTGACACCCGTGGCCCAGCTGCATAGTGTTTCGCAGGCTCTCCGTCCAAAGAAGTAAATCTCCGATACGATGGCACCATGATTCCTGAGGATGTGGTCAACTACAACTCTTTGATCGCCACATGCCTTGGAGGTTCCAGCTGGCAGCTGGCAGTGCACGTCCTGGCCCACATGCCCGTGTCGCCAGATTCCATCAGCCGGCTGGCTGCACAGCAACTGCACAAAATAGGGATGACCGACGATCATGTAGTTGCGTTTTGGCTTCGTGATTCCAGGTTTTTCTTCTGCCATCCGTGCATGTGAGAAGAGCACATGCTGGAAAGAAGCTGTCGCGCTCCTCTTCGGGATGATCGAGCGTGAGGCAGATAGTGTTTGCGAGTCATGTTGCATCGAAATGACGACTCGGGTGAGCTGTTGCCTCTAGAACCTAATCCATGACATCACACCTGAGCAATAGCTACGCTTCAAGATGAAGTGTGAACCCAAGCCCACCCAGTGACCATGCTGGACCTGGCAACGGGTCGCATCCTTAACACTTTCTGCGCATATCGCCACATCGCCCTGTCCACGCCACAGATGCTTCCCTCCGGCATCAGCTGCGGATCTGCTCTCAATGCCTGCAAAAGGGGCAGCTTGGAAGCCTGGAGCACCAACATAGATGGGAACCGAGACTATTTCCTGTTGGTCTTGTCCACGTATTCAGCATCAGGGCAGGGAATTTGTGGAGTCGGAAGGTTGAAGATCAGAGCCCTTGGGCTGGTTGAAGCAATGGCGATGGCGGAAACTGTGTCACGACATGACATGGGTTTCCCCTCGAATCCAGTGAAGGTTCCAGATTAGCTAAAAGAGTCTGATCATGGCAAGCCGTTGCTCAAAGCTTGTGCGACACTGCAAGGCAACCGTTGGCAGCACATGGTGGCCTTGCTGAACCTGCTGCAAGACATCAAGGACAGATGCAAGTACACAGTGCACAGCTGTCCGTGCGGGTAACCCATCTTCGATGTATAGTACAGAGCTCCGAGATGGGCAGGCACCACCTGATGGGATAAGCTACACTGCCACAATCGCGGCCTGTGCCACCGATTCCTGGCAGAATTCCTTGTCCGTGTTCGACAGGAGACTTGCATGGCATGAATGTTTGTGGCAATGTGCTTATCAGTACTACTGAGTCGATACTGTAGGAACATGTAGACACCGTGCATCGGCAGGATGCAGAAGCAACAACTACTCCCTGACGTGATTTCGTTCTCGTCGGCTGCGCATGCCTGCGGTGCACATGGACATTGGGAGCAAGCTCTGGCGATTTGCAGCAGCATGCGCCGCTTGCCCTGCATTGCCGTGAGAGGGTACGCCAAGGAAGACCCAGGAAGTGCTCGACATGTCAATCTCAGCCACCCAGACCGATCCAACCGTCAAGAACCTCTGAGGCCAGTTCTTGCTTCAGCCGAACACGGTGTTGTACAGCTCGCTGATCAGTGCTTGTGGTGCCACTGGGGAATGGCAGCGGGCTTTCGCTTTGTTCGCGCAAATGCAAGCCGAGAGCTTGCAAATTGAGTCTGGCCTGCACTGCCTTGGATAGTAAATTGCGCTCGATCTTGCTATGAGGAGCGTCATCGAACTGAGGATGTTTTTGCCTGTGGCGCCGCAATCAATGCCTGTACATGTGAGGGGGCCATGTGGGAGGAGGCCCTGCGCCTTTTGGACAGAGCCTTGGTCAATCTGGCGACTTCTTATTTGCACGTCGTGAAAAAAATCCTTCATACTACAGACGAAAAGGGAGTGTGGATGGCGGGGAGGCGTAGGCCGAAGCTCGTGCGAATTCCAGGCATGCTCCAGGCAACTGTGCGGCCAAGCAAAGTATGCTGCAACGCGGCAATCAGCGCATGTGACAAAGGCCATCACATACAGACTCGTGGCAAACAGGCAAGCATGTGTGTCGGTCCACCTCGTGTTGCCGCGTTGCAAGGCGGTCAGTGGCAACTTGCCTTGGGCTCCTTCCAAAAGCTGGGAAAGTGGACGCTGCATGCGGATGCTGTCAGCTACGGTGCTGACACTCAAGCTGCACCATTTAATTCCAGTTGCCGCTGTAAAAACCTTGATGTGGTGGCCTGCGGCTGCGGCAAAGCTTGGATGATCGGCTCTCTTGTGATTCATGTGTGGCTGCACACAAATCATGTAAAACCACATCTTCCTGTATTTCATCACAGTTTTGTCTGGATCAGTTTGCCATTGTGCCAGAGGCCATCAGCGCTTGCGCACAAGGACATAAGTGGATGATGGCACTGACCCTCCTGGACGAAATGCCTGCCGCGAGCACCAGAAGAAATACGAGCTCCGGCTTACTTTCATGTCACCGGCAGCTCCCAACAAGCGGCCCTGTGGATTCTGGAACTCCTTTCGGAGATCATTCGCGGTTTTGGAGAACGATCGAGTCATTACAGTAGGTTCGTTGAATGACTTCGGACGTCGACGGCCACAAAGCTTGCTGAAAATCTGCTGCGGGCTAATGAGAAAACTGTGGCGATAGTTGTTTGTCAGTGATCGGTCGTGACTCAGGATCTGCTACACCAGTGCCCTGAGTGCCCTTGACAAGGCTGGGCATTGGCAGCTGGTGTTGCTGATGCTGTCTCAGACGCTTGGGACATCTTGGGGCGTATGCTGAGTGCAGAATCCTAGTATGACTGTTTGTGCCTGTGAATCATGGCCACCTAAGGATGTCGGAGGAGGCATTGCAGCCTACTTTAGCAAGCTATGGGGCAGCAATGAGCGCCTGTGACTCTGCCGGAGCGTGGACCTCTGCATTGACGTTGCTTCACCAAATGAAGCATCCCGGCATTACTTAATGGAAGCTTGCAGGCTGTTACCGAGCTTGGTAGCAAACATTTTCAAAGCGGCATGCAGGGGTAACACTGGGGGCTCAGCAGACTTGCTGCACAAAAACATAGCATACTTCTCGATTTCAAACGATGTTTGTACTGAGTGGGTAACGAGGGTACGTCGATGCTCTCTCCATGATGGCTAGTGTGGAGCCCGGTCTTTCAGGAATTCATACCGTCCAAAGCATGCCAGTCGGATACCTTAGGGCGGGGGCGGCACGCCCAACTGCAGGATTCACGTTGCTGAGCAAGGTTGCAAGGCAAGCAACGGCAGCGCACACGCTGCCATCTGGGGCACGTTTGCAATCAAGCTCTTGATGTGCTTGCCATGGGCTCATCGCTTAAGTAGCCCTGATTCTCGCCCTTCTTTCGTTCGAGGGACATCACATGAGAGCGCCTTGACTAGACCCTTTGGACTTCACTGCAGCGGAGGTCGCAGAGACTGATGCCCACAGGAATGATCGCCGGGTCACTGGCAGGTGCTGTCCAAAAAGGCATGGGCGAAGATGCGGCCCACGACGCTGGTCCCCAACATGCTTTTCATGTTTCGGGGGTTTTCCACAGGTCTGGAAATGATGTGGTTCCTGCACAGAGCACAATCTGGCTCTTATAGTCGTGCGGTCTGCAGAATGGCGCCCAACGAGCCTTTTGATAGCCTCAGGCGCCTCCGCCCCATGAAAAGAAGATGCCCTAAATCGTCTAAATCCCTTGCCGGGGTCATGCCCGCGATGTGGTACAAGTCGACGGGTCGAGTCGTGCTTTCACATCTGTAGGACAGTCCTTTGGGACCTGCGTGTAGCCTTGCGAAACCCATGGCTCGGACGGCGCGAACAGGTCTCGAACGGCTGGGGCATTCCAAGGATTCGAACGCATTGGCATTGCGCATACATTCAGCGGCTCTTCAGCCAGAGCCTGTTTTCCGATATTCGGCCCCCAGTCCTCCAATTCCAGGATGTTTTGGCAGAGCTTCGGGACCTGTGGACCGAGCAGTGTGCGAGCCTGAGCCCACGCAAGCCATGCGAAGCTTGTGGCCTGCACAAAGATGGAAGAGTTTTCGAAAGCTGGTGTGCGCCCCTCCGACCGCAATCCCAGGGATTGCAGTAGATCAAAAGCATGCCTAGGTCCGCATGCAGCCGGCGCGCTGCGTCCAGCAGGTGCCGATCTTGCGGCTGTGGTTGGCTGTGGTCCTGGCATCGTGGCTGCCACAAAGCCAAGCGGCGAGAGGACAGTGCTGCACTGCACCGAGCCCGTTCCGCAATGGGACCTGAACAGCCGAAGAACAAATGCCAACGGCACTCGGTATAGCATGACTTCTGGGTCATCAAATCAGGGCAGCCCGAACAGCCGGTATCGTATAGCTGTAGAGGTGTAGGGCATTTGGAGGCTGCAGAGGCAGAGCCTGAACTCGGCTAAACATCTCTGCTGCAAGCGACTTCCATTGGCTATTGCAGGACTTCTTCTTATTATTATTTGTAAACTGGGGAACACCTCCAGGACCGAGGACTTGGCCGAAAGCTTGGCTGAATCACTTGGATGTGAGCTGACTCTCGTTTCCCGGCTGGACCATCCGACATCAGGCCTCGTTCCCTGAAGAGTGGCCACTGGAACGGCTTGGTTCGGTTAAGCTGTGAGCAGAATTGGCATGCCAGTCTTGAAATCTTCTAGCAGGGTGGTTGCCTTGACATGCCGTTTGCTCATCGGCCGTCGGCAAGGGGTAAGACAAATACGAGAAGTACGGCCATACTGTCTTGCAGCAGGCGTGCTTCCCGTCGCTCTCGGATCAGAAGACTCTGCTGCAGCCAACTGGTTACAAGCTCAATTTGCAGGTCGAATGGTGCGCAAGGACCCCTGGGTTCATCGAACCCTTTAGCATCAGTACAAGCCACACTCTCGGTGCCAGGATTTCAAGGGATCGACAGAAGCTTGGAGTGATCAGCCGCTGCAGGAATACCTCTGTCTGGTTGAGGGCCGTCCTCTTGGAGCCGATGGTTGCTGCGCCCGGATTGATGCCCCCTTGCACACCATCAAAAAAGGAGCCTTAGCTGTTCAGCGAGCGTGGGAGAGGGGGCGTGCCACGACCTTTGAGCCCAGAACGCCTTAAAAGGAAGGAGGAAAGGAGAAAGGCCCAACTCCGAATCGCAAGGCGGGCGAAAGGAGGCGATATAGAGCTATCGTCAGGGGAAGCTGACTCGAAGAACTGTTGGCTGGGTGTTTGGTTGCTTCTGCCTGCACTGCAGTCTCTCACTATCCCGGTGCGCGACACAGCTGCAGACCTTCCGGGCCAGCAGAAGAAAAAGGAGATGCATCACACCGAACCTGAACCTCTTCCCGTCTGCTACATGCTGGGGACCCCACCTGACGCCTCAATGCACGACTCTTGCGAGACGTCTGCACAGTCGATCTCTGCACTTGCGGAGATCCGTGGTGTAAGCTCCCAAGGCGATCAGCTCCGGACTGAAATCTCCAGCCTGGGCCGGGAGGCGAAGACTGAATACCAGGTGGCTTGCTGGTCACGTGCTGGTCTTTTGAGCTTCGAAGAACAGTCGAGTGTGAAGGCATCTTGGGGCAGTACGGCTGAGACAGATCTGAGACAGATTGCATTCTCAAATCCGGTCCCAATCCGAGCTCGACAGAGCGGAGCATGTAGACAAGAAGCACGTCTCCATCCACACTTCCCTTTGTTGTATCTTTGCTCAGTTTTTGCGCCCTGCCCTGGAGGTGCTGGCAAGGTATCGGCTGGATGCCGCAAGTGACCCGGTCCTGTCCCTCCTGTCTGCTCGCCCGAGAACTGGTCGAACACATCAGATACGCGCACCTTGAACCGCACAAAAGCTTACTGGAATGAGTTGTGGCATGGTGCCGTACAGAGCGTGAGGCAAGACTGCCATGTTTCTACTGTTGCTGTTTGCTTTAGCCTGGAATGCTTCCAGAACCATTGAGAGAATCACCAACGTGCCGAATACTTTGACGATCACGATGCCCAGGTGCACATGGCCAGCATCGGTGCACCGATTGTCGGTGATTTGACTTATGGAAGGAAGAGCTCCGGCTGCAACACACTTATGAAGCAAGAGATCTGCAGACGTGTGCATGGGCCATTTTGTGGCAAGCCGTGTCTTCTCGGCTCAGGCAACATTCCACAGTTCCTTGGTGCGGACGTCTCTTCCTGCATTGCCACCGAATCAAATGCAAAGACCTGAACGGAAATGGTTTTGAGGCTGAAGCACCTCTGCCCGCCGAGCTTGAAGACGTTCTTTCAAGGCTTTGCCAAGTTAATTCAGGTCTGGTCTGAGAGATGACCCCAGCAAAACGCGCAAAAAGCTTTCGGTAGACCCCTGCGTCGATGCTACACTGCTACACTACACAGGAAGTGTTACGATACGCTCAACCGATTCCAAAGTTGTTGACCTTTTCATGGAGTCGGCAGCACACGGCTGGCCACGACAAGTCGTTGGCCGCTGATGCAAGATGATGTAACAGTCTGGGGTTTTGCTCAGGGCTTGAGCTTGATTGCGGGTGGGATGGGTTCTGCAAGTACGGGGTGTACGTCGCCATGACCAATGACCACAGGACCAAGAACGGCTTCTGATGCTGCAGCACGCCCATTGATAAGTGACATGGTCATCATGCATGAAGATGCATGAAGGGCTGGGGGCATACTTGTCAAAAATTATGCTAGTCACGAGTCGTACTGTATTGTGGGTCGAGCTGGGCAGTAAGGGCAGCCGTCGAGTCCCTTGTGAAAGAAACTAGGTGAAATATTGACATGGCACGGCGCATTGATACTCTACTCTGGCTCGAACCAGGTCTCACCGCTCTAGGCAGATAGCCTCCGGCTGTTGCCTTAATTTTATTGCCATGTTCTTCACGCTGTGCCGCGACCTGCATGACTTGTTTCAGAAGGACGACCTCGAACTTTCATTCTGGCCCAATGATGCCGAGGACACACTTTTCGAGTTGTCTAAGGGAGCCGATGTGTCCTTTGGGATATTCTCAGCGAGTCACACATGGTTTCTCGTGGCGTTTGTGTTTCGGACGTTCTCGGACCTGTGCCAACTGAGAATCATGCGTCACTGGCAGGGCAACTTGTCTCATCGTCGAGAGCCTGCTGCCTGCAAGTATCGTGGCTACGATGCGGTGGCCGACGACTACGAAATGATTACCATGCCTGCTGAGCCAGGGGATTGTGACGCAGAGAAGAAGATGATCCAGCGCCAGATTGCAAGCTTATCCAGGCGTATTGCAAGAGGAGGTCACGGCATAGGGACACACACGCAAGGGCATGCAAGCTTGTTCACTGCTCACGTTGGTACGGGCACTTTGCCTCATTATACCAGGTGCACCTGAAGTTCTTGACCACTATCACAAGGCTTCTTGCCTCATATCGAGCGAAGGTTTTGAAAATCGGAAGAGTTGTGCGGCGCCTTGGCTTAATGAGGTCAAAGAAGATCTGGAACTGCAGCTCGCCATGCCTGGCATCTTGCGATACAAAACTATGGATGTGCCGGACGTTGATTTGCGATCGACTTTATCGACCATTGCAGCTTGGACAAGCAGTCCTACTGTTTCTCACACCTGCCCCATACAGAGAGCCGCGCCCCAACAGCCCAACATTGATGCTCCGAGTCGACTTGCGACACATTTCCCGACGAGCCCACCTGCGTCCCGCTGGACCTCGAACCGGCAGGAGTCCAGCAGGAGGCTTAGATAAGCTGATGTCGCTTAACCGGGCACATGCCCATCAAGATTGTGGTCTGAAACCAAGGCCAAGTTCAACGTGCCAGCTCCTGGCATCGTGGGACCTAGGGCACGCCAAATCATCGGACAGGAGGCATCCACTGTGGTGGAGGTGCGGTTTCATGTCGCATGGAAATCCGGGTCTGCACACCCCCTGTTGGCAGGGCTCCGACCAATGACACGCCCGTTGAATGCAAACCTCGAGGTATAGGATGGTATAGGTTCTTCTAATTCGCCAACATGATGCACATTGTTTGCCCTCCCTGAGGAGTGCAAGCAGTTAAGCGTATCCAGGAGGTGACCTAGTGACCTCGTTTAAAATCCTGTTTGAATTGGGAATTGCACCTTTGGTGTGTACCAAAGCTTTGTTCAAGCCGTTGGCCTTGGCGAAGCCAAGGTCGGGACTGGCACGCTAAAGCGATAATACGAGATAGTACGGATATGATGTAAAAGTGGGAATTGATTTGAAATGCCCACGAACCTGAGGCCTCGATTCTTTCGAGGCAGTAGCTGCCTGTGTTTGCGCTTGCTGCTGTGCTGTCGGTTTGACACGAGGCGCGCAAGCTGCGAACTTGTGACATGTGACCGGTGATCAAGGAGCTGCCAACACCAAATTCCGAGACGCTTAATTTTACTCCGCCAATCGAGCTGATGATGAGAACTCATCGCCTGTGCTCGGGCTGCTTGATCGACATGCGGAGCAGGTTTCCAGCACGAGGTCTGGAACACTCCTACCTCCTTGAGGTTTGAGCAGAGCAGCGCACAAAATTCGCCGCTCCACCTCAAGCAGACTACGATTGCGCAGTCCACAGGAAAACCATTTGGGAGTGCCTACTAAACTTGCCTTGTAAGGACCTGAAGCCGAAGGCAAAACTGACTGAACGTGAGTGTGAGAGTCGAAAGCTCTGAAAGCGCTGAAAGGACCTGTCTAGGTCGCTGCCATCCTCGTCGAACGGTTGATGGAGAAATTGGGCACAGACTTAGTAACAGTCGGCAGGACGCAAGAACATACCCCGCACCCATTCTCTGATGGATGCCGCGGTAGTGCAAGAGTTTTGTCATTGGATCCCAGTGTCGCCCAACCAAATCCGATGTTGGTATTACATCTAAATCAAGTTGTGAGGGTAAATGTCCGGGGCTTCAGTATTTGCCAGGGCAATCGACGAAGGGCTCGTATTGTTGAGGGCTTGATTACGGGTGGGATGATGGAGCCCCGAAGCACTACATGGGTTCTACATGAGCTCAGGGGTGGAGGGGAAGGCATAGCTGTAGAGCCCTGCTCCAAAAAAAGTTGGGGTCTACATGTGTGAGGGCTGTGGGGTGTACGCAACCAAGTGACCACAGAGCAGCCCCTGACGCTGCCGGGCTCCGGCATGCCCGTAAGATTCCACCAGGGACGATGATACTGCCATCATCTATGAAGGGTCATGGGGAGTCTTGTAGAAAAGGATGGTGTGATGATATGCGACTTTGGCTCGAACCAGGTCTCACCGATTTGGGCAGGTAGCCTCCGGCATTTGCCTCAATTTTGTCGCCATGTTCTTCACGCTGTGCAACGAGCTGCATGAGTTGTTTCAGGAGGACGACATCGAACTTTCATTCTCGGGCCATGATGCCGAGGAGGGAGTTTTTGGAACAGCTGATGGATCTCAAGGGAGCTGCGGGCTTTTCTCAGCGACTCACACATTCTTCCTTGTAGCATTTGTGTTGACTTCGCTCGTCGGACCCCGTGCAGTCATGCCAAGGGACAACCGTGTGTCATTGGCAGGACGACTTCTCTCATCGTCGAGATCTTGCTACCTGCAAGCATTCTGACTACGATCCGGACGCCGACGACTACGAAATGATTACCATGCCTGCTGAACCAGAGCATGATGATGCAGAAAAGAAGACGATCCAGCGCCAGATTGCAAGCTTGTCAAGCCGGATTGCTGCAGGAGGTCAGGGAACACACATGCACAAGTGCACGCAAGTCTGCTCAGTGATATTGAAGGATCATGTTGGTACGTGTATTTTGCCTATAGCAGGTGCACCTGAAGTTCTTGACCACTATCATAAGGTGTCTTGTCTGGTATCTGCACATCCGAAAAGCTTTCTGGCACAGTGGGGTGCCTTCTGCTGCAACGCAAGTGAGGTCAAAGAAGGTCTGGCCAAGGAGCTTGCCATGCGCGGCATCTTGCGCCACAAGACCATGGATGTTCCGGATGTTGATTTACTATCAACTTTATCGACCATTGCAGCTTGGACAAGCAGTATTGCGGCTCTCACACCTCGAGGCCCCATGTGGAGAAGTGCACGTCAACAGCCCGCCATTGATGCCCCGAGTCGACTTGCGACACTTATCCCGATGAGCACACCTGGATCCCACTGGAACTCGAAAAGGCCGGAGGCTTAGATATGCTGATGCCTCTCAACCGGGCACATGCACGTGGTCTGAAACCAAGGCCAAGTTCAACGTGCCAGCTTCTGGCATCGTGGGACCTGGGGCACGCAGACTCAGTGGGAAGGAGGCATCTACTGTGGTGGAGGTCTGGTGTCATACATGTCGCATGGGCCTCCGGTGCATCCCCTCTCAGTACAGCCCCTGTTCGCAGGGCTCCGGCCGATGACACCCCCTTGAATGAAAATCTCGAGGTGTCGGTTTTCCTAATTCACGAAAATGATGCATACTCTTCCGGGTGGCATCTTGCAGCTCGAAATATCAATATCGTTTTCCCTCCTTGCGGAGCTTAGTCGGCACATGTCTGCATCATTCTGCACCTGCTGTCACGGGCAGAGGCTGGCCAAGCCCTCTCCTTTGCTGGTCACACTGGAGCAGTCCGCAGTCTGTGCACAGTTTGGCATATGGAGCTGTCTCAGCTTGGAGGCACTCTGCATTGGAGTGCCTAAACTGTCTGAACATGTCTAAACTGTCTCGTGCCATTGATCGCTGCCAGTTTAGAGCAGCATCGATTGGACCGGCCAGGTTTGGTCTCACATGCAAATTAGTTTGAGTTTTGATCCATGCCGGCACGCAGGATATCTGCTTCTGAGGCTGCAGTCGGCAGATGGCCTTTGGTGCCCAATTCGCTTGTGATCTTCATTTCCAGTCGTGCAAAGGTCTGGGCTGATTGCTTATCCCATTGCTTATGCCTTCAAGAGAGGGCGGCAAGTGCGGAAAAAACACTTCCGGCATCATACAGGCGATGGTTTGAGAGTGTTGAGACTACGGCTCCACTACCCGATCAGTACCGTGCGCATGGGTCGCCATTTGAAGCTGTAGCTTGTTCCACAGGTTGGTTCGAGAGGCATCTGCAGCGTGTCGGACGACAGGGTTTGCGGCGAAGAAAGACATGGCATGGCATACTTTGTGGGCTGCCCATCGGCGTCTTCCTGCAGTCCAGGTCGCTGCATGGTTAAAAAGTCGGAGTCGGAACAAGCTGCATGGGGTGCAAGGTCAACGCAAGCTCCGCACGACCAAAGTGGAAGATCTCCTTGAGAGACTGGGTAGACTTCCATCTTCCGAGCAAGCCACCGGCTTAGAGAGGATCTTTGAGCACAGAATCACACGGATGCAGCACTCACGGAGGTGCTCCGAGTCCTGGAACCCGTGTTGCCAAGCTGGGTGGAGAATCCTAAGAAGGCCTTTCTGCTCAAACGATATCGCGGAATGCATGAGACGGTTCTTTCGAGATGCCTGACTTTGCCAGAGTTCTGTCCGTGAAATAATCCCATCCCAAAGTGTTTGCGAAGACCTGCTCGGAACGCACCACCTTGTCAGGCGACAGTTGTGCTAAGTGCACTGGCAAAAAAGAAGCTGTCTGGCAGCATGGGAATGACGTGTGCCGATACATCTTCTTGTCCTAAACTGCCTCTCACTTGCGACAGATTGAAAGGTTGCCGGGAGCTGCGACCCAGGTGCTTGCAGCTATGCAGCTGGGCGGTCATGTCCGGTCGGTGGCAACATGAGAAAATGATGCTTTAGAGATACATATCCAAGGCTTTCACAACAAGCTGAAGTAAATTCATTCCACATCAGCCAGTGGCCCAGTCGTCAGTGGCTTGAATGTGCGAACGTCTGGATAAAGTGGTTCTGTTTGATATGCAACGCTTGGAAGAGTTATTGCTACCGAAGGTTGCACCCGAACCTGCCGTTGCCGGTCCGGGCGACCGAGCCCTGTTTCTTCCTGGTTTTTTGCCTGTAGTGTGGTGCCTTTTCCTTCGAGCCCCTTCTCCCTCTTGCCTCCTTGTCTGTCTTGCCATCCTGTCCGGATGCGATGCACCGTCTGCCGGAGTCTCGCTTGGCTGCCGTCTCTTGTCGACGTACTTGAATCAACCTGAAAGTAACCTGTGCTGCCCGTCGTGATTTTCATGCTCACATCGTGTACTGAGTTTCATCTGGATTTCTGCACATTGCCTTCTGCTTTCTGCTCTTTACGCATCTGTTTCTGCCAGCAAGCGTGGGCTGTAATTTAGATACTATATAGATAACAGAAGAGGCAGATTCCGAAAGAAAGAAAGAAAGAAAGCAAATTCATAAGGATCCCACAGCGACAAGATTTGCTGGTCTGAGAGCCTTGCACTGCGCGGTAGAGCAAGTGAGCAAATTCAGGCAGTGAACGGGAAAGCTATATGAAAAGAAAATTCAAGCGAGAGTCCATAGTCCATACGTAGGTGGGATACTATCGCACCATCTGCCAGGTGGAAACTAATTCCCAGTCTGGAGCTACGTGATCTCCAGGTTCTGTCATCTCTGCGGCCGGACGATGTGGCGACTGGGCCCTGGCGATGTCCCTGTTGCAGCGCCCAGAGCTGGCAGCCCAACCCACGGACGGCTGTTGGAAGTAATGGGGACTACCTATTCTACCTCCGCTATGCTTTGTGCAAGTATTCAGCATGAGCAGCATTCTGTGCCCTTGAGTGCCGACACTTCCAACAAGGCTCACACCTGCTGCATGTATCTCCATTCCCCAAGCGACTTGGAGTCACCCAACGCATGCATCCTTCTGGTTCCCACTTCCAGGAGATCGCTTGGAATGCGGCGATCACTGCTTGTGAAACAGGCACTGTCATGTTGCTGCACTGTCATGAGGCATGACACACGTGAGATAAGATGGTAGGAGGCGAGTGGCAGCGCGCGGTGTTGCTTTTGAGCCAAATGCGGCTAGCAAGAGTTTCGCCTGACATTGTGAGTGCCGTGGCTGCAGAAGGCACAGGAAGGGGGATCTGCACAACACGGGCGCAGCTTGTGC